TAGTATTCGTAGATTCATCGACGACGTTAATAATTACATTACTGTCTTCCTGATCATCAAGAAGATTAAGGTAATTGCTTGAAAGATTTTCAAAAAACTTTGTTGCCATTTCAAGTTACAATAGATGTTAATTATGAATGTTGTGCCCCCGATTGTCAGCCCAGATGTCAATTTGCTAAATTTTACCTAGCTAAAATTAATTTATTTAGGTTGATAATTTAGGCCAATTGACATCTGGGCATTTGGGGCACGACATATATATTTCTAATGGTGTATCGTTACACGAGTGTGGCCTCAAAAAAAGTTTTCGATTATATAACAAATTTTATTCTAGAGGACTTAATGAATGTAACGGAACTTAATTGATATTTAATAAAGAGACTCATTGTGTAAATAGGACTTTGGAAGTTATTTTATATAAAGCTCGAAGCTTAGAATACTTACGGCCTTTATTTATAAGGCCGTTGAAAAGGTGTGAACCGGTTCTGGTACGGAACTCGACCGGAGGTTTGGTTACACCAGTGTTCGGGTTTTAAGGACTAACAATAAAATGCTGTAAATCCAACAATCAACCCTAAGTGGAAGGCTGAAAGAGGGTGTGGAGGATTTAGTCCGGGTTTTAGGGATTGTTTGAGGATTGTTCTGGTTTATTGAGGTAAGTGTTTCTTGTGTTTCTTGTGTTTCTTGTGTTTCTTGTCTTCTGTTTCCGTTGGTTTTGATTCTTATCACGTGGCACGTGACCTGGTTTCTTTTACAATTGGTTGGCGATTTTAACAATGGGAATTGTTAAACGATGGGTTTATCTATAGAACTATCTAAGGGTCAATTGATTATTGTTTTCCTTAAATTGATCAATTATGATTATCACGGGAGCGGGGTTTATCAATGAAGTTATTTTAACAATGACAAATTTATAACACCAAACTTCTACTCGAATTTCGAAGTATTGGTTCAACACTAAACTTATTTAGAGTTATTATTCGAACTCTACAAGTTATTGTCAAAGTTATGAACTCGAAAGTTATTTTTATTGAAAGGCAACTTGCGTTGCTTATGTAGATAAATTTACATATAGAATAAACATGTTAAAAGAAAAGAAAATAAAATAAAACTACTGTATCGTTCCTATTAACAAAATACTATCGAATTGTTCGTTTAACGTTATTTTATTAACAGGCATGGGACATCTCCCCCGTGATGATTTTCATAGTAAATTATTTTCGTGTAATGTACGACGACAAGACTTTATTGTAAAAACACCTCAGTTAGTTTTTACTAAACACCATTCTCGTCCTTAAACAAGATTATTCTTCAAGTTTCGAGCTTACATTTCGTATAATAACGATAATTGTTGCCTAAATATACGTGGAGTAATGGTAATTTGAAAAATGGCATTTTTTTAATATAAATGCCAAGATCCTTTTCCAGTTACTCGAGATTCGTCTCCATTTTACTTTGTCAAAGGTAGAGATGAAAGAGAGCTTTAAAATTTATTATGGGTCCAAAAGTACATTACTTATAACTTTTGGACATTCACTTAGATACATTTTTTTTTAATAATCTATACTCAAATAGGTAGTCTAACTTTTCACAAATAATTTTTATTTTTGTTTATTTTTTTTTCTTTTCTTCAGAAATAGAGATAACACTTTCTTCTCTTTGTAGGTCTTCGCTTCGTCAGGACAGAAAGGACACAAAATAGGCATGAGAATTTAGATCTGAGTGAAGAATTAGAAATGGTCGAATAAGTACCAGTTTTTAATTTATTGTTTGTCTTTTCTTTCTTTCAACATAGGAATTAACACTTTCTTCTCTTTGTAGATATTCACTTTGTCAGAACAGTGGAAATACGAAATGGACACCTGAGAATTTAGATCTGAGCGAAGAACTAAAATGGTAGAATGGTAAGTATCAGTTTTCGTTCTGTTCTTTGTCAGTTTGTTTTCTTTTCTTCAAAAGAGAAATGAATATTTCTTCTCTTGTAGATCTTTGCTTTGTCAGAACAGCATGAGCGTGAAATAAATATATAAGGATTTAGATTCAGAGAATAATTGAAAATGGTTAAACGAAAGGTACCAGTTTCTATTCTTTATTACTTTGTTTTTTCTTTTCTTTGGAAACAGGAACTAATACTTTCTTTTTCTTCTTCTTTTTCTTTTTTGTAGGCCTTTGTTTTATAAAACAGTTGGAATGCAAAATAGGTACATGAGAATTTGAATCTGAGAAAGAATTGGAAATAGTTAAATGATAAGTACCAGTTTCCATTCTTTGTTATTTTGTTTTTCTTTTCTTCAGAAATGAGAACTAATATTTGCTTCTTTTTCTTTGCAGATCTTTGCTTCATGAAATGTTAGAATATAATAAGAATTTGGGCTCAGGCAAGGAACTGAAAATAGTCAAATGATAAGTACCAGTTTCCATTCTTTGCTTCTTTGTTTTGTTTTTTCTTCAGAATAAAAACTAATCTTTTCTTTTCTTTTGTAGGTCTTCACTTCAGTAGAACAGTTGAAACGAAAATAGTTACTTTAAGATTTGGTCCTATATGGAGATCTAGAAATTATCAATCGATAAGTTCTAGGTTCTATTTTTTTGTTCTTGGTTTGATTTCTTTTCTTTAGATCTAACCTTTTTTTCTCTTTATAGACCTTTATATCATTGGGACAGTTTAAAAAAATAGATACTTGTAGATCTATCTAGTTAAGAAATTGAAAATTTTTATTTATATTATAGCATTATAGCAACATAAAATCGCAGAATCTTATATATTAATTCTGGCGTTAATATTTTAAATGCAAGGGTATTTAATTTTTTATATTTCAACAAAGACAGGATGTGCACAGCTTATAATATTATCGATGTCATTATGATACGATATTATTATATAAGAGGTTTATCATTCGAGAATTTTATATTGTATAAATGATGTAATGTTCAATCTTTATTTTATTAATAAAAAAAAATAAAAAAAAAAAATAAAAAATAAAATACAAATATTTATTTAATGCTATGTATTTGTAAAAATATTACTATATTCATTATAGAAAAAAACTCTCACAGCTCCAAAAACTTATCTAATATTCAGTTTCTGATATCCTATGAAAATTCAACCTCATAAATAATATTACTGTAGTGACTACACTATTTCGTATTTCTATTATTATCCCAGTTTTATAGTTTCTATCTAAATCCTAATCTTTGAGTGTCTTATTTCTTGTTCAAACCATCCTAGCGAAGCGAAGACCTACAAAAAAGAAGAAAATGTTAATTCCCATTCTGAAGAAAAGAAAAAGCGACAAAAACAAAGAATAAAAACTGGTACTTATCATTCAACTATTTCTATCTTCGCTCTCTTATGCCTATTTTACATTCCAACTGATCCATTAAGCAAAGACCTACAAAAAGAAAAAGAAAGTATTAGTTCCTATTTCCGAAGAAAAAAAAAACAAAGTAACAAAGAATAGAAACTGGTGCCTATTGTTTAACTATTTCCAATTCTTTCTCAGATCCAAATCCTCATATACTCAACTATTTCGTAAAGCAAAGGCCTACAAAAAAGAAAAAGAAGAAAAAAGTATTAGTTTCCATTTCCAAATTTAAAGAAAAAAAAACAAAGTAATAAAGAATTGAAACTGGTACCTTTCATTTAACCATTTCCAATTCTTTCCTAGATCTAAATTTTCATATGTCCATTTCATGCTCATACCGTTCTGATGAAGTAAAGACCTACAAGAAAAGAAAATATTTGTTTCTCTTTTGAAGAAAAGAAAACAAACTAACAAAGAACAAAGAGCAGAAACTGATACTTACTGTTCTACTATTCTAGTTCTTCACTCAGATCTAAATCCTCAGATGTCCATTTCACATTCACACTGTTTTGACGAAGTGATTACCTACAAAGAGAAGAAAGTGTTAATTCATAAGTTGAAGAAAGAACAATAAATTGAAACTAGTACTTATCATTCTTAGTTTCATGATTCTTGCTCAGATCCAAATCTTATACTCATTTTGTGTTCGAACTATTCCAGCAAAGAAAAACCTACAAAAGAGAAGTATTAGTTCTTAGTTCGAAAAAAACCAACTCTTGAAAAAAAAACAAACTTAGAAGAAAAACGAACCTAGAAGAAAAAACCTAGAATAAAAAAAGGAAACTATGCTAAACATTCACTCTCCAAACTTCTATTACACGTTTTAACCATTGCAACGAAGTAAAGACCTACAAAAGAGAAGAATGTATTAGTTCTTATTTCAGAGAAAAGAAAAATATGAAGAACGAATGTCATATTACAGGAGTTAGAGTACTTCAACTTCGAGTGAAGATCTTCTTTGAATTATGAGTTATTAAAAGTTGAAGTTTATTTCGTTTAATAAATAAACGTCTCCAGAATAATTGCGACTTAGGCGGCATGGGTGAGAAGGTTTAATAAATATTGTGTTACTATATTAGTAATGTTAAACGAACTCGATTTTTTAATATAAAATTGAGTGATCGACATATTGCTTTTACTTAATAACAATATTTTGAACCTCTGTAGGAGAAAATGTTCTATGCCTGTTAATAATAATATATATTGTTTTAGTCTATTTTGTAGATCGATATTATTTTAAAAATTAGTATGATATCCTAAAAGTGATAATTGATAAAAACAGAAAAAATCGAAAATTAGAGAAATCAGAAAAATCAGAAGTAGTACCACATTTGACTGCAGTAGCTCTGAGGCAGATTTGTCATTGAAAAGGTCAAATCTGGTAACCCCAAAATTACTCATAATCTGAGGTTACCTCGACCAAAATTCTTGAAGATCTTTGGAGCTTCACAAAAATACTTCGCCTTTCCATCTCTGAAATCATCTGGATCCTAAAAATCCTAACAATCCTGGCCAAGATCTCTAGGATTTAGCAAATCCACTAAATCTTAGAAATCCTAGTCCAGATTTTCTTATCCCCCAGATTTTTCGAATTTCTATTTTTTTTATGTTTTTCTTTATTTCCACTATCTTGTATTAATAAAAATTAGGTATATAAGTGATTTGAATTTCTTTTAATAAAAATAACTTTTGGAATTTACAAATAACAACTTACTAAGTTGGAATAAATAAACACTAATAAAGTTCTAACTTCTAAGAACCAATACTTCGAAATTCGAGTAGAAGTTTGATGTTACAAATTTGTCCTCATTAAAATATCATTATTATTAAAACCCTGTGTTGATTAGAATTAATCAGCTTAAGGAAATCAATAACCATTCACCTCTAAATAGTTCTATTGATAAACTCACTGATTTAAGAATTTCTATTGCTATAATCAATAACCAATCGCAAGGAGGACCAGATCACATGCCATGTAATCTATCTCAAAAGTTTAAAGAACTTGAAAGACTAAAACTGAAACTCCTGGAATAAAAGCTCAAGGACCCAAAGATACTTATCTAAAGAAATCCACCCTGCAATTCTAAAACCCAGACCAAATTCTCCACAACCTCTTTCAGCCTGCCAACTTAGGGTTGATTGTTAGATTTATAGTGTTTGTTAGTTGATTTGTTAGACTATGAATCTAAGTATGACCAGAACCTCTGGACGAGTTCTATACCAGAACTAGTCTACACCTTCTTACCATTTACACCGTTCAAATTTGACATCATCCAGCTGAAGACTCTTACGAGAAATGAACAACTAATCAAAACGCTAGATAACTCTCACCAATTTCTTGATTTACATAAACTAATCAAATTGTCCCATATTCATTTCATCCCCTCCCAAGAGTTCTAAAAGTGATAATAACTGAAAATTCAATTGCAAGTGGCCTAATGTTATTCAAATAATCAAAATAAAATATACAAAATAGTTAAAGTAATCAATATAATCAAAATAATCAAAATACTTAAAATATAAGGAATAAGCAAAATAAACAAAATAAGCAAAATAAGCAATACTGCATCTCTTGTATCTTGGTCCTGTGATCTATAACATACTACTCCAGGTTCACAATAGTAAGTATAAATTCTGGCCTATTTTCATTTTTTGCAACTTTAATAATTTGAGTACTTGGTAGTTTCAG